AAATAGTAGATATATTTAAAAATATTGACTGGAGGAGAATTTTTGAAAAAAAATTGAATTTGTTAAAAAGAATTTCATTAACATTTTTGAAATAATTGAATTTTGGAGAAAAATTTTAATATTTATAAAGATAATTGAAATTTTGACGATAAATTTTTTAAACTTTTGATCATAATTGAATTTCTGCGCAGAATTTTATTACTTTTGAAAGAATTGAATTTCTTTGATGAATTTGAATAAAATTTTTAAGAATAATTATACATTTTTCGAGAAATTCCATTAAAATTGTATTAAATATATTTGAAATTTTGCGATGAGTTTTTATTATTTATGAAAATAATTGTAAATCTATAAATTTTTTGATTATTTATGAAAATAATTGAATTATTGCGAAGAAAAATTGTAAAGGCAACTCTTTTAAAATTGAATTAAGAAAATTGAATTAAAGAAAAATTAGATTTCAAGAATAAGTACAATAACTTTAGAAAACAATAATTTTCCAGGATTCCAATCAAAGTTCCCTGACTTTTCCAGGTTTTTTCAAGGTTTATAAAAATTCCCTGACATTTCAGGTTTCCCAGGTTTCCAGGTTGCGTGGCAGCCCTGATTTTACATTGAGACAAGATTACAAAAAAAATTGACGCGAATCCGGTGTAGGAACCACCCCATTAGCCTCCCCCCAAGTAATAAAAAATGATTTTAAAATACCGTTTTCGCTACGCATGGAATATTTTTTCTTAAAAATTAAATTAAATCTCACCAAGAATCTAGAAAAAATAGTTTAACCCTATCCGAGTGGGGGAACCACCCTAATTACGCAACCCCCTAGTTAATAAAAATTCTACAAAAATACGTTTTCTTTTACTATTCGCGAAATTGTTTACCATGATATCAATTTACATTATACTAAGAGGGTAGAAAAAAATTTGATCCATATCAGAGTAGGGGAAGTGCCCCATTTGCCCCCCCCCCTTTATGCAATTAAATTTTTTAAAAATACAATTTTTACTACGATCGAAATTTTTTAGCTGGATTCTTGTTACTATTATGCAAAATAAATCTAAATGTAAATAATAAGTTATTGCAATTTTGTATGATAAACTTAAATTTTTAACATACATTACTTTTTATTTATAAATTTATTCATGCAATTATTAAAGGAAAATAATAACATTGTAATCAATTAAAAACATACTTTATTGTCTTATATTTTAAAAATTGTAATAAATTAAAGAATAAATTTCTGTTTTTTCATTTACATACTATATTTGTTATTTGCACACTTTTTTGTTCAATTTACATATAAAACACTGTTTTCTTTTCTTAAAATACAAAGATTCATTTTTTATTTTTTTGTGATTGACGCCTGCACAGTTTACATTTATATTTATCTAAGATATCTTTATTAACTCTTTTATTTGGCCGATAGTTAATGTTTTCTTCATCATCAGAATTAATTTCTCCTTTATACGCACATTGTTTGTGAACGTTTACACTACATTCTTCACAGACAATACATTTTTTGTCTTTAACTTTAAATTCGCAATAAGCACAATTTTGTGGTCCTTTTTCAGCACAAATAATCAACTGATTAGCAACATTATTTCTAAACTTAAGAGGGTTGAAGTTTTCTTCCATTTCTGTGTCAGTTGCAATACTATCCAAATAGTACTGGATGTAAACTCCACAGTTAGACCCATCGTTTACTGGTTGATATGGTCTTCTTTTTACGTATTGTTTTACTTCAAATTTCCCTTTTTTAAATTTTCCAAAAGAAGAATTAACGTCGCAAACTTTTATAAATTGATAAAATGCCTCTACCACTCTGTCTTCATCACTACCTTGCATATAAGGATCTATTAACGTTATGAACAATTGTTTTACATTAACAAATAGTAATCTCCAATGTCCAAGGAACAAGTAAGGCATTAGAATGATATCATTCAGAGGTTTATTCATTTTATAAAATGGGTGAATGGTATCCTTCCTTTTATTATAAAAATCCCCTAAAAATATACTTGTATTATCAGTTGGAATGTAAGTAATATTTTCTGACCAAAATTGTTTTCTACACACAGAATAAGAGTCAATGATTTGCCCGTCAATCCAACCTGAATCGTTTGTAAGAGATTTTAAGTGCTTGCAAGTAATATGAATTTCGCTGGTTGTTGAAAATACACTATCTCCAAACGTGAATTTTCCAACTATTATGTAATTCGATTTCGAAGTAGAATAATATTCTAAATTCTTTTTCTCATTTTGAGAATATTCGATTATATTATCGCCTATGTTTTCTACTACACATTCTTCGTGAATTGTTTTTTGACGTTTTTCTTCTAAGTGTTTTCCGTTTTCATTAATTATTTTCCTTTTCCGTGAATCAGTTTTCTCATTTTTAAATATTTCTTTATTTAGATTGACTATTTCTTTTTTTTTCTTCAGGTCATCAACTTCGTAATTTGATCCAGTCAGTTTATTGTTACTAGTTTGAATAAATTCTTTTCTTACAAAATTTTTTGTGCCGTGTTTAGATACTAGTCGCTCTGCTTCATTTTCCTCTGCTGTTATTATTTTCTTATCAATGATTTCTTTTACCAGTTTCGTCAAAGTTTTAGCCGACGCATGATTAGCTTTTCTTTGAACCGATTGTTTACCTCTTCTCCACACGTCAACAGTTAAAGGATTAGAAGCTGTATCTGGATAAGCTGGCTTTTCTTTTTCTTTCTTAGTCATTTTTATTCTCGCATCTTCCCCCAGGTTACATTCTGCTACAATTTCATCAACATAGTCTTCAAGTTCCCTAATGACTTGTCCTGCTGCACAATTTTTTCGCTTTTCTAAGATAGAATGTTTTATTGTTGCATTGTGTGTTTCTACGTAACTATTACTAACGCGAGAGATATTTTTATCAATAGTATCGAGCATCAATGCTCCACAAATAGAAATGAAAGGCATATACTCCAGTGTTAAATATTCTGCAAATCTAGGACAATAAAATTTATTCAAATTTTCATCGTTTTCATCATCGAGTAAAGCTTCTTCTTCATTGTATTTGTTCTGCAATCTTACTAATTTTATATAAAACCGTTTATAAAATTCTGATTGGGTAAATACTGCTTTGCTGTCTTTATAAAAGTACTCGAATTCTTTTTCAATCTTATATTCCTCTATAGCATTTTCAATAACTTTTACTTCTTTGTAAACACTTTTCATTTCATCCTTTATATCTTTTGTTATCATGCCGGAGAGAATGAGAATTGACCTATTAGCTTTTTCTGCATCCTTCGTTAACAGAATGTGTAAAATATCTTCAAATATAACGTCTACTTCATCAATAGTTCGACTTAATAATAACAAACTGAATATGTCTAGAACAAAACTTTTCTTATCTTTTAAACGTATATAATTTTTGTCTATAGTTTTTGATGTTCGATGCATTACGTGAGCAAAACACGTCAATAGGAATGTTAAGTGGTTTGGAAGGTCTTTTTTCTTTGTTAAATAATCATAAGTCATATTAATGTAATCAACTACTGTCATTTTATTCCACTGTAATGTTATGGCGTTTATTGATGCCCAAGACCAGTCGACAACAATAGCTTTAAAAAATGGCCATTCAAATTTTTCTTTCAGAACAAATTCTTCAAAATCCATCAAAAATTTGCCTATAGAAAAAGCGTCATGATTCACCGTTAACATCTCTATTGCTGGAATTTCGGATTCATTAACTTTGCACACTATGCAATAGTACATGACTTTATTGCTAGAAACGTCATCTAGTTTCCTAGCTATGGATCCTGTAGAATCACAATGCCCAATTCTAGTTGATTTATTATCGACTATTGCTTGTAATTGCCGTTTGCTATACATGACTGTTCTCAAAGGTACTGATACATTACGAAGATAAGGATCATCTTTTTACTTTCATTTATACACAGCTGACATAAATCTGAAAGTACTTTATCTTCCAAAGTTAATCGATGTTTACTTTTATCTTCTTGTCTGATTTTGTGTAGCGTTTTTATTTTCATCATATTTTGTGGATGACCATTTTGCCACATATCTTTGTTTAATGATAGTTCTGTCTTCAATTGAATTTTTCTAGCAGATTGATGTTGTAAAAGTCTCTTCATTTCATCTCGTTGCTTACCTCTGATCTGTTTATACTTTTTTGTTGTGCCATCATGTGAAACTAACATTTTTTTATTACTTAATACTCTCAACGTTGTATGTTTAAGCTCTAAATCTCTTATTTCACATTTAAAATGTTGTGAATGAATATGATTTTGAGAGCAAAATGCGTATATAATAATTGTATTTTTTACACTGTTATTAAATCTAAAATTATAAAATGTTAAACTACATGGGCATTCTAAAATTTCGAAAAAACATTTCTTAATAGAACCATATATGGTATCTCTGTCATATGTATCCGTATTACTTTTCCACATTTTTTGATCGACTTGTACTTCACCTATGAACTCTTCATATTTTATCCTTTCTTTTTTTGCTGTTTTACTAGTTTTTTCCATTTCTTCTTTTGCTTTACTATTATCTTTCTTTTCTATCTTGTGACATATTTTTCTTAATTTCTTCTTTCTTGCTGTATCGTCACCATCAGCATCTTCATTATATTCATCACCATCTTCATTATATTCATCATCATCGCCATTCTCATCATCATCACCATTATTTTCATATCCATCATCATCACCGTCGTTACCATCACCATTATTATATTCATAATCATATTTATCATCATATTCATCATCATCGCTACCTATACTAACATTATCATCATCATCTTTAACACAATACTTCTCATCATAATCATGCTCACTATTCTCATAATTAGTAGTCTCATCATTGACATTAATTGCATCACAATCTCTATTCTCAACGTTTTTATTATTCTGACAATAATCCTTATTTTCACACTCATCATCACTAATTCTATCAAAACAATTCTTAACATTTTCATTTTATCGTCGGTTGACTTGTTCCAACTATTCTCATTAACATCACTCTCATTCGTTTTAAACTCATTATTTGTTGTACTATAATTATCATAATTATAAGCATCAATATCATTAAAAGTACTCCCCTCATTATTATTCTTCTTTTTTTCATTATTATTTATACTATTAATATCATTGCGACTACTCTCATTTTTACCATTTTTGACAATTATTAAATCACTATTACTCTCAAATTTATCGTCCTCTTTCATATTTTTATTACAACTATTTTGGTCAAAAGTAATTTTATTTTCACGACGTACATTCACACCTTTTTTATTGCAACTATATTTATTTTCATCACACTCATCAATAACATTCTCATTGCACTCATTCTTATTATCATTAAGGTCTATAATTTTATTTATTTTTATCCATTCTTCTTGATGAATTATGATTTTTTTCCTTTCTTGTGTCCCTACTTTTTGGAAATTTGGAAGAATGCATTTCTTCTGTCTCTTCATTGAAGTCAAAAGCTGAAAAATCTTTTGCATTGTCTACTACTACTTGTGTTTCTGTACAAATTGTCTCTTTTAATTCTTCATTAAAAGTAGTTGCAGACAACTTTTGTGTTTCTTTTTCATCTTCTGCTATTTTCCCTATCACACTACTCTTCTCTTTTCTTTCTTCTAATCTCTCTTCTTTACATTCTACTTTCTTCTCCTTTGGTTTCTCTATTTCATCTTCTGCTATTTTCCCTGTCACACTACTCTTCTCTTTTCTTTCTGCTAATCTCTCTTCTTTACATTCTACTTTCTTCTCCTTTGGTTTCTCTATTTCATCTTCTGCTATTTTTCCTGTCACACTACTCTTCTCTTTTCCTTCTTCTAATCTCTTTTCTTTACATTCTACTCTCTTCTTCTCTGGTTTCTCTATTTCATCTTCTGCTATTTTCCCAGTCACACTACTCTTCTCTTTTCTTTCTGCTAATCTCTCTTCTTTACATTCTACTTTCTTCTCCTTTGGTTTCTCTATTTCATCTTCTGCTATTTTTCCTGTCACACTACTCTTCTCTTTTCCTTCTTCTAATCTCTTTTCTTTACATTCTACTCTCTTCTTCTCTGGTTTCTCTATTTCATCTTCTGCTATTTTCCCTGTCACACTACTCTTCTCTTTTCTTTCTGCTAATCTCTCTTCTTTACATTCTACTTTCTTCTCCTTTGGTTTCTCTATTTCATCTTCTGCTATTTTTCCTGTCACACTACTCTTCTCTTTTCCTTCTTCTAATCTCTTTTCTTTACATTCTACTCTCTTCTTCTCTGGTTTCTCTATTTCATCTTCTGCTATTTTCCCTGTCACACTACTCTTCTCTTTTCTTTCTGCTAATCTCTCTTCTTTACATTCTACTTTCTTCTCCTTTGGTTTCTCTATTTCATCTTCTGCTATTTTTCCTGTCACACTACTCTTCTCTTTTCCTTCTTCTAATCTCTTTTCTTTACATTCAATTCTCTTCTTCTCTGGCTTCTCTATTTCATATTCTAATATTTTTCCTGTCACGCTACTCTTCTCTTTTCTTTTTTCTAACCTCTTTTCTTTACATTCTACTTTCTTCTTCTCTGGTTTCTTTATTTCATCTTCTGCTATTTTCCTTGACACACTATTCTTCTCTTTTCCTTTTTCTAATCTCTCTTCTTTATATTCTACTCTCTTCTCCTCTGGTTTCTTTATTTCATCTTCTGCTATTTTCCCTGACACATTATTGTTCTCTTTTCCTTTTTTTAATATCTCTTCTTTATATTCCATTCTCTTCTTCTCTTGTTTCTTAATTTCCATCTTTTTTGTGTAATAATGGAATTCTTCTATTAGTTCAAAATGTCCCGATCTATCACTTCTAGAAAAAAACAACATAATTGTTGAATTATTTGTAATGTCCGGAGTGTTGAATCTTCCAATATTTTTCACAATTTCATGATTTTCTGTTTCCTTAAATATTTGTACATTGACATTGTATAATTGTGAAAACATTCCAATTTCAAAATCAGTACCATATTTTCCATTTCCCCCCATCTTCTCATTATAATCCGCAAAAGTGTTACATTTTTTTTCGTTTTCATCTTGAGTAGCATGTAAATTATATTTAAGATCATTCCAGTTACATTGAACATGATTTACAATTCTTTGGCGTATTATTTTATGCGTATCGTTTTTATATATATGATTCTCTTGATCAGTAAGCCATAATGCAAGAGAGTGAAACAAGCAATTTCCATCACCAGGAACAGTTCTAATAACATACATATTATTCTCTTTATCTCTGACGCATCTTGCCTCGCTTTGGAACCCATTACTTTTATTTTCGTTACCTTTCTTCTTTTTCTTGATTGCAACCTTCTTAACATCGTATGTGGTATTAGTAAAGGATGCATTTTTGTTTTTTTGTAATAATAAAGCTAATTCTTTTTTGAACTCCTCATTTTCTTCAACCGCATATCTAATTATCCGTTGCACTTCAGATGATAATCCTACTTTTGCCTTGGCTGCAACCTTTAAAAACATTTAGAACCAATTAAAAATTATTGGGTATCTAAACGACAACGGAGCAAATATGTGAATTGAATAAATAAAATACCAATTCGAGATTTCTTTCATATTGAACTTCACATTCCCCAAGTGCGGAAAACAATCCAAACCATGAATGGAGATATAAGCAAGGAATAATTTGAGGTTATGACTATCAATTAAACTTTTATTAAAAGTGTTACTTTTATGAAAAATGATATATCAACTGTCAGTTTATTCGGGCTTCAAAATGATATTTCAACTCTCTTTTTTTTTAAATTTCATTTCAAAAGCTATGTATGGAATACTTGAAATTTTCGAGAATTCGATTGCATGCGATATCACGAATATTTCGAATACTTGATAAATTCGGGTACTCGATTAAATTAGATTTTTTAGATTACTGAAAAACTATCAATAATATGAAAATTTCGAATTTATGCTATGTATCCCGTCCCAAGTAGAAATGTCCGAATTTCGGACGGAGTTAAACACCGGCATGGTACTGCCGGTGGTACTGACTCAGTACTGACCGTCGGTACTGACTTTCGGAAGCCGATCAGTACTGGGAGTATACTGACTCCAAAACCGAATCAGTAATACGTCGGAGTTAAAAAAGTATTAAAATCAGTACTGGCATAACACCAAATCAGTACTGCGAAGGAGTTAAAAAACAAACAAAATATGTTATAATGGCATTAAACCGGCCATTACCCAGATGCGAATTTGGGTTGGCCGCCAGAGTTTGAAGGTTGGCCCAAGGTTGGCCTAACTTTGGCAAGCGAAGTTTTGATTGCCAGAGTTTGCCCAACTTTGGCAAGTACTAGTGCCCACAGTTGGCCCGACTTTGGCGATAAAGGTTGGCACAACTCATCCAAACGTAGTTTAAAAGACTTGATTATTCTTGGTTGACCGAACTCTGGGCCACGGTTGGCCCGACGGTTGGCAAAACTTTGTCAAATGCAGTTTAAATGACTTAAACTTTCTTGGTCGGCCGAACTCTGGGCCACGGTTGGCCCGACTGTTGCAGCTTAAATATACATTTTGCGTTATGCACTCCCATGTGAGCGTAGCGTAGTGGTCAGTGTATAAGTCTTCGGTGCGTTAGGTTAGGGGTTCGATCCCAGCGAGCGATAGATATTTTCGAAAATGTATGTATGAGATTGTGTTTAATAATAATAGGTAAAGGTTATATCTGATGTTCCCGCTAATAATAACGTGTTAATTGTTTAAATAATGTAGTTTTTTAATAATTTTTTACCTTTGGCTGTTGAAGTTGGCCAAACTTTGAAAATTGTGATTGGCCCAACTTACGCATCTAAAGTTGTGCCAACTTTGGCGTCAGTCTTTGGACCAACCATTGAAATGTATAGTTGGCACAACTTCCTTATGAGTTGTCGGGCCAACCATCGTCGCCATTAGACGGCGAACCGTTATCATCTGTATGGTTGGCCCAACCTCTGGCACGAGAAGTTGGACCGACTTTGTAAAAGTTGGCCCAACTATGGGCCGACCAAAAAATCGCACCTGGGTATTAATAACAACATCGTTTGATTTATTAACTATTAAAATATTTTCGAACATTTTTAAAAACATTATTCATCAACAATAACATCCAACAGTTTATTAACATTTTATTAAATATTTTTACTATTATGTATTATTAATAATACATTTTTTTTAAATGTATAAATATATGTGGACGTCCACATGAAAAGGGCCCATATTGTCGGTTCTAGTTTTCGAGATAATCGCAATTTAGTAATTTTTGAGCAAATTCTTAATTTTTTTTTTATTTTTTATTATCAATCTACATGTTTTGACAAGTCGAATCATGCGGTTTTCATTAATTTATCGATAATTTAACTGTTTGATTTCACTGGTTCTTTAGAAAAATGAAAAGGGCCCATTTTGTCGGTCATTTGCAAAAGTAATCCGTATTTTAAAAATGGAGGTATAGAAAAATTTAAAACCTCTTGATTTTTCATCTCTAAAGTGTCCTGGACTGTAAACAATTCTAATCTGAATAACTTCTCAGAAGAACCAGAGATATTGATGTTAGAGTCTTTTTTTCGTAATTATCGAAATGAAAATTTGTATATTTCGTCAATTTTTTCATAATAGAGACTGTCAAAAATTTTTAAATAAGTTTAATATCTATTCTTTTTCTTCAAATGACACAATAAAATTGTACGTAATCATTAATCCTGTAAAAAAATGGTTTTTTAATAGAAAAACTGTCCTTTTTAAAAAAGGGCCCATATTGTCTGTTTCTCGTACTTAAGTACGAAATTTTTCAAAATTAAGAGGGGGGAAGGTTTTAAAAATTTAAAACTTATTGGTTTTTCATCTTTTAGGTACCCTGGACTGTAAACAATTCTTATCTGAATAACTTTCCAGAAGAACCAGAGATATTGATGTTAGAATCTTTTTTTCGTAATTGTCGAAATGAAAATTTTAATATTGCGTCAGTTTTTTCATAATAGAGACTGTCAAAAATTTTTAAATAAGTTTAATATCTATTCTTTTTCTTCAAATGACACAATAAAATTGTACCTAATCATTTATCTTGTAAAAAAATGGTTTTTTAAATAGAAAAACTGTCCTTTTTAGAAAAGGGCCCATATTGTCGGTTTTTAAATTAATTAATTAATTAAGGGGAGGGGGTGGTTCTAAAAATTTAAAACCTGTTGGTTTTTTATCTTCAAGGTGCCCTGAACTAGAAACAATTCTTATCTGAATAACTTCCAAGAAGAACCAGAGATACAACAATTAGTTGGTATCGCAATCTTTAATTCCGTTTTTCTCGAAATGAGGTTTTTGGCGTTCTAAACTTTGAAATTCCGTAACTCAGCGAATTTTTAACCAAAAAAGTTCTAAGACCACTCAAAATTTTCCAAATTTTGCCAGGAATACGCCCATATAGATAACTCAAATAGTGCCAAAATGGGCCCTTTTCATGTGGACGTCCACATATATACATTTTTTTTAAATGTATAAATATATATACATTTTTTATTATTTAAATAAATAATTAAATAATTAAATAAATAATTTATCATATTTTTATGCTATACCTATTAATTAATACATAACGTCTTGTTAAAATGTATATAAATATATGGGTGATTCTTCTAAAAGTGCCACTTTTGAAATTAGATTTTTCAACTTATTTTTTTTTAAATTATATGGTTTTTTATTGAACTTACCTTATTTCATACTCAAGAGTAAGAATTTCGAGTTCCGCGAAATTAATTGTTGAAAATATTAAAGTTTTTTTTTTCTTTAAAGAAGATTGATTTTGTTGCTCCAATTGATCAATTTTATTTGTTTCGTAATTTTTTTTTATGAAATATACATACTAATATAATTCATAATAAAATTGCACTGTTTAAAAGAATAATAATTTGCATATTTTAATACTACACTGAGAAAACTGGTTTATTGGACTAAACATCTGGAGGGACAAATCGTTGATATTTGAGAGTTAGGTATTGGATAACAATCTAAATGTTCAAATACACCATTGACAGATATTCGTGCCATTTCTCTTGGAGGGAAAATGAGTTTATAACAGAGGGACAAATTAACCATCTTGAGAAATCCCTTCCTTATCCGGCGCGAAATGAATAAATATGGCAACCTAACCCCTAAATTAAATACATAAAATGTCAGAAAAATAATTTCGCGCGCATCAGATCGTACACATTTTCTGCGCAACTTTTAACCCTCAGATATAATGGGAGAGAATATACAAGTAGATTTCCATTATCAATTCAAAATTTATTTTAGAAGGACTATTCAACTCTCTTCATAAGCAAAGGAAACATACACTTTTTGAACCTCTGAATTTGACTCTCCAGTTTTCTCAGTGTAAATATATTCAGTTTAATTAAAATAAAAATCTATAGTTGATGGTTATTTAGGTTAATATTTTCAAATCAATGCAGGTAAATACTAAAAACAAAAGAAAAATTCGAACATTTCAAGGAAAAAGCTTCGGATGATTTCTTTAATAATCAAATAACAAATTAATATAAGCCCGTGTAGAAATGGTAGTTGGGTTCTAGTGGGGACCACACTAGTTTATCCCATTTGAAATAGGGCTCCAACTAGAGAAACTGGTGGGGTTCTAGTCGATTTTGTCACGCTCCTGTTGATAGGGTCCCGACTAGAAGTTCTAGTTTACTTCTACCGGTTCTAAAAATTATTATTTTTCAACTTAACCTATTTACAATTGAATTCTTCATTCACATTAACATTATTAACGAATGTTGTACACGTAAAACCTGGAACTAGAATTAAAAATCTCGTGCCCATGGGGGATCGAACCTTGGACCTTGGGGACTCCAGTCGGATACACATACCTCACAGCCACGCTAGGTTGGAAGGACCTTTGCTTAAATTACATTATGAATTATGGAGAGATATTATTCACTCTTATTTAACTCTGCATTGTTAATGATAGTTAATAATAATTAATTATAACATTACTAATTACATTACTTTTTATATTTTTATATTTACTATAATTATTATAATTATATTATTAAATTTATTATTGTAATTGTAAGAAAATAACATAATTTTAATTATTAATTAATGTTTTTATTAATTGTCAAAAAGATTTTTATTAGATAAAATTGTTTTATTTGAATTTTTTGCAAGAATATTCTACAATATTGAAATTTTCTTTAAAGTATGTTAAAAAATTAAATAATCAAATAATTTGCAAAATTTTTTAATAAATAATGCTGGTAAATTTTTCTGTTAATTAATCTGAATTATTTATCTAAAAAGACAATTTATGTATAATACTTGTACACTAGTTTGTCTAGTTGGAAATCAATAAGGTCCTGATCAGTTTTCTCTAGTCTAGGTTATCCTAACTAGAATCTGATAGTTTTCTAGTGAGTTTTTCTACTCTAAATTATCTAACTAGAATTCGATAGGGACCTGACTAGTTTTTCTAGACTAGAGGTTCTAGTCAGAATCTAGCGAGGGCCCTACTAGAGACAGGGATAAATAGGGAAATTTCTACACGGGAGCTTCTAAAGGTAAATTTTGTTTTAGAGAACGCGTTACAGCATTTTCCAAATTTGTTAAATTTTACCTGCGAATCAGTAATTAGGCGGTGTTCTGCCAGTGATATTTTAATACTGACTTAGTACTGACTGCCGGTAAAAAATCAGTACTGGACAGCGTTACCAACCAGAGATTTCATAGTACTGATTTAGTACTGGAGTCAGTATACAGGAAAAAAGAAGCGTTATTATAACATTAAAAGTAGAGTTAAAACTACACGCAACATTTTTAACCGACAGTGTGTGATTTTAACACATCATTGGTGTTAAAATTAACACTGGAATATGTTAAATTAACATTACAGGGTGTTAAATTGATATACATTTTAAATGGGGTTAAAATAACACCTAAATTGTGTTAAAACAACATCACCTGAAAACTACACGCAACAAATTTAACACATTTTTTTCTGTATACTGCTATACTGGCAGTCCGTACTGGGTCAGTACTATGCCAGTATTACATTTCTACTTGGAGTGTAGAAATTTCCCTTCGTCTCCCTATCAATGGTTGGATTCTAGATAGAACAACGCCAGAGAATCTAGTCTAGAGAAGCCTGACTAGAATCGACCTAGATTCTTGTGAGAAAATCCGGATTAGAAATATCTCCCCAGATCCCGCTTAGATTTTAGAAAGGCGATTCATATTAGAAAAAAACTGAATAGATCCCAGATAAATTGTGGACAGAGATATCGAGTAGATATATTGATGTGCAAATGTTAGGTTAGGAAATCCAAATAATTATATAGATATAATAATATACGTTATT